AGTAGTAGTAGTAGTAGTAGTAGTAGTAGTAGTAGTAGTAATAGTAGTAGTCGGAGTAGTAGCAGTAGTAGTAAAATAGTAGTAATAGGATGTAATAGGAATAGTAATAGTAGAAAATAAGAACCATTTACCTGGTTGTGGAATCGGATTACTGCGGGGGGTTCTGGCACCCAACTAGACAATGAGGGGGAAATAGGCCACCAATACTACTTTTAGTTTGGGCACTTTCCGGGGGCTTTGTGGGCTCAGATTAACTAGGAGAGGTTTATTAATCACGACTTTACATTACCCCTTTCATTGGAGGCTTGGATGGTCAAAAAGATTCGTTCTGCCAGTGGCATGGAAACTGTTTCTTTTCGATAGGACCCGAAGCCCGAAGCATTTCGTTTCGTGGCCGTTTCAGCGTGTCCCACCGACCCACGAGAAAACCAGGTGGATTTGGGCGTCCATCATTGATTCAGGTTTCCAAGCTTGAATATCCGCTTCACGCGAAAGAAGAAGGCGAGGAGCAGATGCCGATGTCCGATGTGGTGATGCTTGGGGTAGATGTTTTTGCTACCCTCAGACGGTGGTTTCGTAGGGTCCAAAAAGGGTTGCTGCACAATTTGATGTCTCAGCTGAGTATCGCTGGAGATGAACCACGCGAAATAAGCGTGGTTCGCAGATTCTGGCGACAAAAGCAACCACCGGGCCTGGGAAAGATATATCCGATATCCTGTTTTGAGATCACAAAAGGGCCTGTGAAAGGTCACTTAGGGACACCAAAAAGGTCAGATTGAAGAAACTGATTTATTTTTGGACTTCTTGCCTTAGGTGTGGCACACTCTGAACTGGAGAGTTTGGCCTGACATCTGGCCAGACCGGAAATCCTGTCTCGACACCTAATTACACCAGGCTTTGCGCACTCCTGTTGGGCCCATTTGGAACTCCACTCAACGTCACACCTTCACAGGGGAAACCACGGTGTGACGTTAAGACGAAGACCACACCGTGGATCAGTGAAGCTCACTCTCAGGAGCTGATCACACGAATGACTCGCCGCGGCGTAGCCGGCTATCACGAGTGACTGCTACTGACGACTACTGTGAAAAGGGCACAGTCCTTCCAGAACAGTCGTCGACACACGAAAGTCTTCAGACGTCCGTCTGAGTAACCCACAGTGAATAACTGGTTAACCGAATTGGACCGGACTGCTGTGTGAGTGTGTGTCTTCCAAGTTACGTGTTCCGTGGAACATCAATGCAGCAAAGTTTCTTCGGTTCACGTCGTTTGCAAATTCGTCTACCAAAGGAGTGGTACCAAAGGAACGTGTGTTTTAAAGCCCCGTCCTCGATCGAAAAAGGAAGGTGGTCTCTTTTGACACATGCCTTGCCTGCAAAGAAGGGCCCCCAGCAAGTGATCCAGCACTGAGCCACTGAGCACTTCATCAGTGATCCTCCATCCACACATCCCAAGCCAAGGAAATCGTTTGCAGCCCTCACATGTGGGTCAAAACATGTCAAAACCTTGATCTCCACACATCATGCCCAAAACCGTCTCACCAGGTCCTTCCTTCTTCGGGGTGTGTTGGGAGGTCCCACACACTCACCAGTGCTCCACCCAGCTTTCCGGCTCGCCCGGTGACGGGCCACCCGGTTGAGGAGGAGAAGGCCCTCCGCTCCGCTGGCGCAGAGCTGGATTTGCCCTTCGAGATCGACTGGAGCACGGCCAAGCGCGCGGCACGGGGTAGGGGTGAAGCAGGGTGAAGCGCTTTCTGGAGGCTTAAATCGCTGGAGGTCCGTTTTGGTGTGGTTTTGATGAGTAGTGTGAGGATGGGGAATGGTGAGGGTTGTGAGGTGAGGGCAGAAAAACGGTGGTTACATTGTCAGTTTGGTTTCATCATCTTCATCATTCCTGTGCTGTAGGTCGTTCAGGTGATCCTGAATGGCAATAGTTCTGGCAAGCGCTGAGTTCTCTAAGACTAAGAATCCATTTAGCTCTTTCAATACGTTGCAGCATCTTCCGGCCCAACACCAAGATGTCCAAAGTGGATTGGCTCTATTGATGAGTAGTAGGCTTTTCTATAGGAGATCCCAACCAAACGGATCATAATCTCCTGGATTCTGAAAAAAAAAGTGGACGCAAATCGTTTGGGCCATGCTCACAGTGCCAAGCACACTGCTTTTTCAGAGAAGAACTTGCCGTAGTTCAAGTTCCTGTATACAGAACTTGGACGAAGAACTTCCTCCAAGTTCTATATATTAGTGGATCCAGTAGACCTGTGGTGAAAACACCTTTGGCCATGTCGAAAGATATGGTGCTGATCCTGCCGGTGCTTTCCTTCGACCCTTCGAAGAAGATGTAGACACAACACCGGAAAATCAATGAAAGCCCTTGGTGGATCTAATCGCGAAAACGCAACGCATCCTTTTCCACGACCGTTTCCCGCCTTGGACCTTGGACCGTCCCAAGAGAGAAAAAGCACAAAAGGGAGAGGGAACATGTTACAAGCCCCCCGTTGTTTTCGACACCTTCCCACGGGGCTCTGGAACTTCACAAAAAAACAAACAACAATCCCAGATAGCAAGGGGATGTCAGGGCCGGTGACTGGCAGAGTGGTGTTTGTATGCTATCTCGAAATACCCTGAATAATTGAAGTGCCACAAAATATAGATGACACTCCACCCCTTAGTGGTTCAAACGAGAGCAAAGCAATTTGTGGTGAAATACTTGTTATTTAGCATTTGTTGAGTCGAACCATGAACCGTCCTGTTTGTTGAGTAGAACCCGTCTTCACCCCCACAGCCCAGCGGGCCCGCTGCTGGCAGAAGCTGGCCCTGCGGGCCCAGCCCACCATGCAGGCGAGAGAACTGGAAGTTCGAATCGCTGACAGGGCCGGGCCGTTATTTCTTCAAGCGCCTTGCTTTCGATGAGGGAGGGCCAGGGCGCCTGGGCAGGACCGTGATTTCGCCGACTGGTGACAAAGTAAACGACAGGTCAAGATCATGCTCAAGTTCCAAAGGGTCCACCAACATCCCTGAGGTTGTGAAGAAGCTACTAGTAAAGGACGCTATGCTCGGTGATCACTATTAGGTTGGAGGCCCATCGCTACTATAGGAACAAGAAGCTACTACATCTTTTTTTTGGTGGTGAAAGACCATTCTCTGGGAGTACATAGCTCTCCTTTCGACCATCCCGAAAAAAGACCGACGTGGGGCCGGCTCAACTGGTTGCGACTTTCCTGGGACATCCGAGACAAACAACATCAACCAACCAACCGTTGCCAACAATAGCATTCCCTTGGTCGTCGCCTGACCGATGCGCACCATGACCGGACCTTGCGACCGGTCGCATCAACTTAAATTCGAAACTGAACTCTTGGGTTTCGTTCTTCCTGAACACGGTCGCATCAACGCTCTGTCGTTCGTGACCAAGGCTCGGGTTTGCGGCCGGTGGGGAAATCAGACGCAGTCGCGACTGGTACCCAGATGCCTTGACTCGGTACAACTCGTGTAGGGAGCCACTCGGGTGCTTGGAAGTTGGATCACATTCCAACCGGGTCAGCCACCCCTCCACCCGACCCTACAGAGACATCGGAGCCGGCGCCCACCGGGACAGCTCACTCGATCGAGGTTCCAGCCGGAGATCGAGCAGATCTCCGGATCCATCGCCGAGGGCGAGGCGGAGGGCTGAGGGTCGATCAGTACCACGGGTCGAACGGGCCGGGGGTGGGACGGCCGAATGCGGCATGCGTGCTGGTTTGCTGGACAGTGAACATGAGTTTGGTTGAAAGCTGGGTGAAGTTTGCCAAGGGGAAAATAATTCTAAGGGGTAATTACTGTACCCAGCTTTTTACACGATTAACGAAAAAGCGTACTAGCATTGGGCAGCCCTGTGGAACCTTTGGCTGATGAGCTGATGCATGCAAGTTATTGCAGGGTAACTTGTTTGTGCAATGTTCCCCGCGGTTCCGGTGTTGGGCCTATGGGCCTATGGTCTCAGCCGTGTGCCCCGTACTAGTGCTCGTGCCCAGCGGTGCTTGCCGAGAAAGAGCCATTTGAACACAGGAACGCTGGTTGAAATAGCGAGTAACGGACATTCTGGCTAGATTTGCAAAGCCAGGACGGAACATGAGAATTGACCACCAAGTCAGTTCAGTTCGGATCCTGAACCTTAATGATCGATTGGGAAGTTCGGATCCTGAGCTTACTGGAAGCCCTCTTCATTCCGCACCGTGGCTCTTCGGTCCCAACGTCCGTCGCTGCCATGTCTGTCGCGTAGAGTCGGCCCGGTCCACGTTCGGAGTCCGCGGAGTCCGCGGAGTCGCTGGACCGAACGTTGTCGGCTTTTCAGACGGACGGACTTGGAACCCAGACATGACCTTTGCTTTGATGGGACAAGACCATATTTTGGTTGGTTGGTGGTCTAAAATAGAGGTCCTTCAGGTTCCAGGGAGGAATTGGTTTTCTTTGACTCTGATCTTTCTGGTTGAAACCTGTCATAGGATATCATAGGAGGATCTGCATGCCAGTGACAGGCAAAAGTTGGGTTGGGTAGACATTAAAAGTGACCACTAGATACCTGGGTACTGTTATGGGATGTTATGGGTACTGGATATGACATAGTGACATGGCTATGATATGGTATGTGATGGTTTGACTATCTGCAAAGTGCGACAACACCAAATATGGTATATGTGGTGCCTGCGTATTGGATATGGCTCGCCTACATTCCAGTAGTATCACCGTACTTTTGTACAAGTAGAAGCACCATATATAAATATATATATATCATCATATACCCTATATGAGTCAAACCACCATCTATTTTGTAGCCTTTACAGCCCAATCATTGTTTTACTGTGGGATTATACACTACAAAACCAGGTGAACCAATAATGCAAATGGTCGAACCAAAACCGGCGAACAGGTATTTATTTACGTTCACGGTGTGCTGAGTCGAGACTTACCGTTGAACCGCGAGTGCGCGCGCGCTTTCAATCCACAGGCCAAGCTCAAATCACAGCCGGAGCTTTACGAGGCGATCGCTCCGAATGAAGTGCGATCGCTCAGATTTTGTTCAATTCAATAGGCGATCGGTCCTCTTCTGGTGACCTGTTTTCACACACAGCTAGGCCCAGCGTCCCTGTCATTTCTGGGTGACGAATTGGTTTCCGTGTTTTGGAACGTGGTACACTCAGACTCATGTTCGAAGCGGACAACCCCCTGTGAGTCTTCGCTTCCATGTGTCCTGAGTCAGAGAGTAGGATCACAGCATATCACAGTATCAGGTGCTTTTGGTTTTGCAACCTGGGATCGCAGAAGACCCAAAAGGTTTGGGAGCTTGGATAGGCATAGTAAGGCCATGGAAGTTGTTTTGGTTGGAGTTGGTTGGGATAAGTGATTAGTGGTTGAAGTTAAACTTACCATGATATCCCCTCAATGAAGCAACATGGACGTGGAAATAGTAGTTGTAAGATGTTGTAAGACTTATAAGACTGCTTGAACCACACACACACAGGGGTGTCCATTTCCGTGTTTGTTGGAGGGGAATGTCCCTATCGAGAGATAGTACTTATTACTCCTGTCACAAATCCCATGTGGTGGTTTGTACGGGATTGCGCCAGCCGTTTTGAGGGGAACACACACATATATACACGACTGCACGACTGGCGTGTCATCCTCACAGTTGCTAAGCTTGAGAAGGGCCTGCGATGAGTGGTTGGCCCAAAGCGAAGCGTTTCACCATGCTACCACCGAATGTTCACCTCCCGGATTCATCCATTGGTCCGCAGGGGATGATGTACCAGACCAACATGAAGGACTTGCGATGGCTGGTCGGTCGTGTCATTTCCTAGAACAACTTGATTTCTTTTCTCCAAGCAATGATCTACTGAGGCACAACTTGACTTGGTTGGTGACTAAAGGTCCCTAATGCAGGAACAAGTTACAGCGAGAAAACACGAATGCACGGGTACGGCACGCAAGCTGTTTTGTTCTCCTGCACGAGACCAGCAACTGGGCCAGCGAGGACTGGCCCAGCGACCAGCAGAACTACAAGCTGGTGAAGCGCACTGGGAGCGGCTACCGCTTCACGCCCGAGCAACCACCCAGCTTCACCTTTCTGGAGGCCGATCGAGGAACGTCGGAGTCATGTGGTGTTGCTTCAGATGGGGGCTGCTTCAACTCATCCACCTAAATAGTCAACCAGCCTGGGTGATCCTGGCTCATGGGTGATATGTTTAGTCTGAAGATGTGTGGTTACATTGCCTTTTTTCCTAAGGGGAACCACAGTATCACTGAAAGCTGGTGACAGTCTTGTCGAGTCCTCTTCTAAACACAACCACAGTACTACAGCACCGAAAGCTGGAAATAAGAGTGAACGCATCAGGTTCCAGTAACAAATATATATATATATATTAATATATAGTTATATATATATATACATATTATATAAGTTCGTTTTTTGGGATCTTCCAGCTGTGTAAGATGTTTGTGTTTTGGCTGGGTATGGAGGAAAAGGCAGACATTCTGCATAGTTGCAAGATCCAGGAGCAAGTTGCACCGCTAGACTTTGGACTCCATGGAGGCCTGTGCCTGTGCTTGGTGCAGTAGTTCTCAGCCAGGTTCAGGTCTTAAGATTTCCAGGTGTTGAACCTTTACGACGAAGGGCGTAGGCTCTGATGCCATGAATGACGGTGCGCAGTCGCGCGTACCCGCGTCGCGCCCAGGTAGCCGGGCGAAGCGAAATTCGTTGGACCTACAGACTCGGGCCACTTCGATAAGACAGTACTTGCAGGTGCTGCGGGAAATGTTCCAAAAAGAGTGTGGTAACTTGGTCTACGAGGGGAAGGTCAAGAGCAAGGCTTGTCCGGGCAGCCCTGAGAGGGTGTTGCCGTGTTGCTTTTCGAGCAGCACCACCCACTTCGCTCTGAAGGGCGCCAAGTGCACCGCTGGATTCTGAGAGATGTGTCGTTGACATACAGAGTTTCCCACGCTTCGCAAGGAGATTTCGCTCTCCGATGTTGTCGCGCTGCCAAGCTGAGCAGCAGCATAAGCCGTGTGGGGTGAATGGAAAATATTCAGAGTAGTGCTTGGGGAAGCCTCACCATTCCGCGCTCATGTTGCACATTCTCTAGATCACTGTTTCAAGCGACTAACCTGGTGATGATGGTGATGGTGGTGGAGATGATGGTGATGGTGGTGATGGTGGGTGGTGCTGGTTGTGGTGGTCGTGGTGATGATGGTGGTGATGGTGGGGGTGGTGCCCTTGGGTTGAGGTATGATTTGATTTCCTGGCTTGCCTCATGCAGAGCAACACATGTACAAACAGGAGGGGCGGACCCCGCTCCGCAGAGGGCCCTATGCTTCGCGACGGCAACCGCCCACACCACAGCCTCTGAGAGAGGGTGAAAGAAGTCTCCATGCTATTGTTGGACCTCTGGCGAACTGTTAGCTTTGTCCTTGTTAAATTTGCGAGTTTGTAGGATCTATTTTTCGACCCTCTTGAAGCTATACATATTTCAGTTTTTTCTTTTGCTTGCATGCAGTTTGTACAATAAACTTTACGATAGCAACCAGCTGGTGCATATGATGCAACCATGAAAGATATATCAAGACATAGACATATCCTTCCATGAACTTAGTGATGCAAGTGACATCAAAATGATAAATATAGTCAAACAAAGATGATCTGTGAAAACCATATGCTTTTCTCCTCCCACTCCCACTCCTCTCCCTGACACGCCTCATGATGCAGGATATGCATGTTCGCTTCCGAGCGGAAATGCACTCCCCTAGCTAAAGCTATACTACGCCCCGCAGCACCTTGGCGGATTTTTGTTTTCCAAAGTCTTCAACGAGACGAGCCATTGCTCGTCGAGTGCGTGGCATTTTTGTCACAGACATGCCACTCAGTAGCTGCTGTACAGTGGAAACTGCTGCATGGGCCGCATCAATGTTTCAATCAGTTCTACATATTCCCTTATGCTCCAGAACACTTGTCACAGAGTGTCTGGAAACCAGCTGGTGAGAGAAGGTTTGGAACTTGCAGTTGGTGAGAGAAGCCGCGGGGCTCCGGGCGCGTCCTCACGGCATTTTGGTCCCATTCTCACACATCCACGCGTCTTTTCATGTGTGAAACATTCATGATGATCATGAAGAATACTTGGCATCTATTTTTTGTTTTCAGCACAGTAGCTGAGCCCTGGGATGGAATGGGTCTTCTGCGGGATGCTGCTTTGAGAGGTTCGCTTCCCTCCCAAGCCGTGGTTGTGTGGTCCATTTGCGAGTTAACTGCGATTGATCAATGAGATGTATCTCATATGCATGTTACATGTTGGCCCTTTGGCCAGTCAGTCAGTAGTGGCACATGTTGACTGGCTGAAACCTGCAGCCTCTGCTCACAGCTGCCCAACCCGCCATTGCCTGGCATGTCGTTGGCCGCAACGACCCTCGATGGTGGTGTTGTGGCAGTCACAGCACCACTGAAGTTTCGGCTAAGTGTAGCTTGGACAATTGGGTGAACTCAAGGTGAGCGCTTGCATGTTTGAGTGGAAGAGTATCTAGAAAACATCTGGCTACATGGTCCGGCTGCAGTCAAGGCGGTTGGCTTTGCAATCCACCTTGGGATCAAGCAATTCCTGGAGCTGCAGAAGCCCTAGGACAATGATCGATTTAGCTTGATTAGCAATTAAGCTTAACATGCACACTCCGAATCTGGTTGCGCGTTAGCTAGGGGTGTGCAAGCTTTGAATCTGCACATGTGCTTACATGTGTCCACATCCTGCCTTCCAGCGCTTCCAGGAGAAGTGGATAATGAGCTGGGAGCATGATGAAGACGTCCAGCAATCTTTGGTGTCAGCCTTGGTGGACAGGCTACCCATGGAAGGTCAGCTGGAGATCTAGTATACTCATCAAACCTCAACCCAAAAAAACTGGAAGCCCAGGCCATGGAGAGCTTTTTGGTGCAAAACTATGAAGTGATCAAGGAGGTGCTCCTGTCCGCGTTTGAGCAGAACAACGAGACTTGGGGAACTGGAGTGCCAACGCTGATTCGATGGTACTTTGAGCTACTTGTTCGCACTAGGTGGTACACGCATGCAACCAAACCAGTGAAATCAACAGCTTGTCCCAGAGGCTCTGTGCTGAATTCAGCCTGGCGCGATTCGCCGCTGAAGTCTGAGTGGCCAGCGTGTGTTGCAGACTGAGATGGCTTGCCGATGAGCAAAAATGTCGGCGCACATGGATGCACATGAGACATCGCAGGGAAAACCTTGGTGCGTGAAATTCCATAGTTCCCTGAGAAAGGGTTTGGACACAAAACAGGCTCAGTGAGGTCTCAGGCTCCAGATGCCTTCTTATCGAGTATCCGGGAGCGCTAGGGATTGTACAATAAAAGATGCTTTTCTTCGAGTGATCCCCAACATGACATTTCAATCCGACAAATTTTCTGGCATGTACTGAAACTTTATTTTGGCATTCTTTCTGGCATATTCTCTGACATACATTCTTTCTGACACTGTTTCCGGCATATTTCTGACATTCTTTCTGGCATCTCTTCTGACATGCTTTCTGCCATATTTTCTGACATTCTATCTGGCATATCTTCTGACTCGCGGTTGAGGTCCGGCGGGAAACGCTGCCATCCGGAGCGGTGGTGGTGGGGGTGGGGGTGGTGGGGGTCCGGCGGGGAAGTCTGCCGTCCGGAGCTAACGGTGGGGGAGCTGGCGGTTGAGTTCCGGTGGGGAACGCTGCCATCCAGAGCTGTTGAGGTTGGGCGGGGAACACTGCCATCCAACACTTGTGTCACTTGTGGGGAGAGGAGAGGAGGAGAAGGAGAAGCACGGCAGCTGACATAATTACAATGTGACAACCCTCACCTGACAGTTGGTGGGGAAATGTATACATATAAATAAGTATACATATACATGTCGAAACATGTTGAGGTTTCCAAGCTTAGGAAAGACTCTTCCACCCCAAAGACAGATCCTTGGGCTGCACTTCCACAGACTTTGGGGAGAGACCCGGAAATAAAGAGAGGGTGTGCATGGGCGAAGGTAGTCTATCCCCAAACCCTTCCAGAACATTGAACATACCATGCATTGCTTCAATCACTGCTCGAGACCTAGGCGAAACCTGCATAATCTCAATGTGGAACCCTAATGACAATAACTACTACATCTCAAGTTTATTTGCCCAATATCAATGACAGGCGCCAAAGGACACCTGCATGTTCATTTGCTCACTACTTCTTAAAACGTTTTTATCTATAATGTTAACTCAAGGTGCTCAGACTAGGTTTCCAGAGATGGGGAAACATGGAGACATGACAATGTTTCAGATAAAATCCCAAAAACAAACAACGGTGGATTTATACGCAGCAGTCCTATAGTGGCCTCATGTTGCTTGAAATGTGTTTGTGTTTTCCCTCAATATTTTGTGATCATTGTATGTCATATGTTGTGATTTTTTTGGTCGGTTGTGGTTCTTGTGTTTGGCTGAGGGTGTTGATATCCTTTGCAAATTTATGAAGCCGTGTTGTTGAACACAACTTAGTTCAAAACCTATAGGTTTTAGATGTTTTGAAACAAATTCACCGTCAACCACGGTGTTCTAGCTACAATTGTGCACAAACATGATCTCCAGAGAGCACCTGCTCGGCAAGATAAACATGTATCAAAGGAAAAAAACACATCTCACACAACCATTCCCTCTCGGCATTTGTGTGTGTTTATTTGTTTTTTCGCTTCTACGTGGCACATGCCAGGCGAAGTATCAGGCGCTGGAACATCACAGCAAGATCACCTTGGACCCAGATCAGTGTTTGGGACCGACCAAACCACGCGGGGACCGAGCGCGGCGGTATGGTGAGTTTGCACTGCTTGGGGGGCGGGCAGGACCATTGGAGGGTTGGATCGTGTGGGGCCGGGATTGGATATCCATGAATGGCAGCAGCGGACAGGTGTTTTTGGTTGGCAATCGGACATGAAATGAAATGGGATTGGATATCGTTCTTCTTGGGGGGAAGAGCAAGGCACCCGGAATGGCAACACTTAGATGATTACTTGACGAATGGGCCATGGTACGTTGCGGTTATGAGCCATGGGAGGCCAATGAAGAACCCGAACATGGCAGGAAAACATCTGCAAGGAAGATGTTGTTCTTGTCCTGTGTTCACCAGGTAATACAGGCTGGAATTTGCAGTTGTGAAAGAACAACTTGCCAGGAATGGGGGAGGGGTGAATGAAGAACTCTTAACTTGCACCATCCATTGAAAAAGATACCAGATCATTCTGTGGATGACATGATGAAGAATGAAGTGTATACAAAACTATCAAAAGTTGTGTCCAGATCAAGTTGCAAGGCAGGGATCCTGTACCTGTACCCTAAGGCTCTACATCCGTTTCAAATGCCTTTAGTTCAGTTCGGGTGACCGACTTTTGTACGTTGCGGTCCCTTCCGTTGAATCTCGGAGCCGCCACATGGGAGTCGACGGCGCTCACCTGAGAGTGTTCTGAGAGACCTCACTTTGACTCACATGGAAGTTGAATGGAATGGTCCCTTAATTACGGAAGACTACGCCATTCGGCGCCATGCTAATTTGAGTTTCCGAGCGTGAGACCTGAGACCAGGCGCAAGGCTCCATCGTCGCAGCCGAGGTACACCGATGGGATGACCTTCCGTGGACAGCGCCTGGGAAAGGCCTGCCATCCAGGTCGTGGCCAAGGCGGAGTAGGGAGTTCTGGTTCGATGGGCGGCGAAAAATCCTCCAAGTCAAAAAAGAGGGAATGGTTTTCGAATGTTTTGGATCACAAACCAGCTCAGGTTTTTACCACTGACCCTCCAACATGTCTTCATAGGACGCTGTTGAAGTCCAAAAATGTATGTCATGTCCTGTGAAAGGGTTTTTGGCAAACACGTTTGATCTTGATTCCCCTCATGTTGCGGCATTCCTTGGATGTGGAGTTAAGTTTTTGATACCAGTTATAGGTGTAGAGTCTTTACTTTCTATCCTCAATTCCCAGACTTGGCCTCTCTCTACAGGAAACCTATAGCTTTGGATGGTGAAAGCATGGTTTCCTGTCGATTCTCCCTTTTTATCCATATGTGAGCAATGTCTTGGTTGGATCGCAAGCGTAAATGCCTGACACTCCAAGAGTGCCGGGCCTTTTTGCCGTGTGCTCCTTATTGGTGGATAATTCGGGGCGGATCATCGACGGCCTGAATCTAGTTTGTCCCACGAACCCCCCAAATCACAAATCGAAGAATTTGTGCCAAATCCCAAAGTCACATGTCATAGGTCGACCACAAGTTCTTAACAAATAATTTATGATAATTTATGTATTCAATGTATTTAATGCAATGATCAGTAAAACCTTCGCATACAGTGTTTGATCTGACCATTGATCCATCGTCCAGCCTTCGGTCAACTCGGAGGATCCATGAGGACCCTCGGCGGGGGTCTTCGCTTTTCCTCGGCCCAGCGTCCAGCCTCCACATCGGTGCGGTCCACATCGCGCGGGTTGGCCGGACAGCACCGCGCCAGGGGTGTGCGACGTGCCGCACATCAAGATCATCGGCGAAATCCATCCCAACGAGCCTCGGCTCCGACGTGCCGGTAGAGGGATCAGACGGTTCGACGGTTCCGGGGGAGTGGAGTTCAATGGGAGGTGTGGGAGAAGCGGACGGTGTGGGAATGGCGGAGGTGCTGCAAGGCTTCAAGGGTTCAAAGACAGAGGGACTGGATGGAATAAAGCAGAAGATCTACCCAACTTTTTGAGAGTTGCTGCTTCTTAGAGTTGCAGTATAGAGTTAACTTGCATGGCAGCACCCCACCACGGGGCACGTGAACACTACTGACATCCAAGACTTGGGATCATTTCCTGTGCTCAGTTTCCTCCAAAAAGGGCTATTGTTGAGGAGTGCAATTCGTCCGACTTGAGCAGACGCAGATCGCAACGTTTGTTTTGGGATGCAAGACTTCAGTGTGAAAGTGAGAGGATTCAGAAAAAAAATGAAAAAAAACACATTTTGTAGTCCTTTGTGTTGTATTATTTTTGTATTGGTTATCTTGTAGGTGTATGTTTGTGTTATTCTTTTGCTTTTCTGCTAAGAACACATCGGCATCGGTCAGGACATCATTCAGGGCAACGTGGGTGACTGCTGGCTGCTGAGCGCCATCAGTGCCTTGTCGGAGTTCGAGGGTGCCATTGCCAAGCTCTTTAAGAAGACGCCCAACATTAAGGCTTGTGGCGGCCATCGACGGGTGTCGAGGATTTGGGGCGTTTTGGTTACTGTTTCAACCTGGTTTGTTGAGTGGTGGTATGCCACTTCAACAGGTCCAACAGGATGCATGTTTTAATGTTCAATGTTGGATGGTTTTGGTGTTATCAGGCGCGTTTTTCTTTTTATTTCTTGGTTGCTTAAATAGGAAGTAGTGAGCCATGAAGGGGGCTGCCGTGAATAGTCTTTGGCTTTGGGGTTCAATGAGTGTAAGCAGCTGTGCAGGCACTGCCGAAGAACCAGCCACAGAAGTACGTGGTGACGCTCTACGAGTCTTGGGTGAGTCGTTTTGTTGTGCTGGTTTCAAGTTTGCCCAGTGATTAAATTTGATTGTCAGATGATGGTGACATTTAGCAAGTTTGATTGTATAGATTTGATGAATTTATTTGTGTTTGTACTTTTGCCCTTGCAAGCGTTGTTGGTCTTGTCTTTGTGGTTTGTAAGGAAAAATGCTAGTTCTTCTTGCCCCAGACAATTTTGAACATATGTTTTAAGAGCATACATTCTATATAATATGTATATATATATCATTCCCATGATCCTGGAATCCGCGAAGTTCAACAACTCACAACAAGCAGGTGATGTTGATAGATTTGGCAACTCCAAAGAAGTGGGTAGCTTTAATTGGATGTTGACCAACATCATCCACTAGGATTTCATCCAAACAGTTTACCTAAGTAGATCACCTTCATTTTGCAAGCCTCCTGACAGAGCCAGTGGTCATGGTGTTCGACATTTAGACAAAGCTCCAAAGGAATTCTCTGAGGTCGGTGTTAATGGTAAGTTTGCCATGCCGCGGTGGCCATACGGTGGCCCGTGTCCATTTCATAGAGTTGGAGAGGGTGTTCCCTACTACATACCTCAAGAGAAGCATGTTTTTGTATCATTCCACCTGAGGACATGAAAACCTGGGCTCCAGTGGACATCGAGGCCAGCTAAGCGATACCTACCTTGTTCCTGTCTTTTTTACAGATGAGAAACCCATATTTTGAACTGGTGCAGTAATATTAGGATATTAGTCTTGTCAAGGATACCACAACATTGCTGTTAATGCCATAGTATCAGGTGCCATCAGAGTTGTTTGTATGAGTAACCCGGATTCCTTGTTTTCAGCTTTGCATAAAGATAAACATCACAGTTGAAGCAGTTATAAGTTATAAGCTATAAATGTCGCCGTTCATAATCTTGTAGTAGATACGGTGTATGACAGTTATGCTAGTGAGTGAATGTCGTAGAATATCGAGCATTATCGGACAATGGACGTATGCTTAAAGTATGTTGTTACAGTTGTGCTTCAGGACAATTGATGACATAATTAGGTGAATTGAACGCTTTTGCTTTAGGCCAGGGATGAACACACAGAGTGGAAGGTGTTTGACCATGCAAAGACCTACCCATCGCAGGGGTGCCGGTAAACATCCAAAAGATGATGTGGGGCTTCGGATCGCGTGGTTTTGCGTAGGGTGATTTTTGTGTGTGTCCCTATAGGCCCTATGGGTAAGTTCACCTGTGTTTTTTTTTGTTCCTAGGGTGCTGGGCAGCAAATTTGAGCTAGGTATTTGTATGATTGTCCTTCGTCTCTCTCAGCTGCTTGGTGTTTTCTTGGTCCCATGGATGGGAAACCAATCCGTTGGATAAGATAGCTGGTTTGGCTGCATTCTAGTACAGATTATAGATGATTATAGTGATCCCCAAATAGATAGAACATGATAGAAACGGTGTCCAATACTTTCTTAGTGGAGATCTACGTTTCTATCTATTTGGGTCTATATATTTTACAGGACCACTGTTCATGGAAGAAAGACTCTGGCACCATGCCAGCGAGGCTAGGAAATGCACAGCAAGTTGCACAGCATTTACGGTGTTTTGGAGGTTCCAGCTATTGTGGATGGAGAGTAGACAGTGCCATCGAACACATCGAACTTCTGAAACCGCTGCACAACAAGGAACCCATGTGGGTGTGATTTCCCATACGGAGACCGCCTAAAGGCCTGCTGGAAGAAGGACAATAGGGTCTATTTGATGGACCAAAGCCCACTGGTTGGGGGGTCTCCCTATTCAAATACACAGCCAGCAGGGCCAGCAGCCATATCAATTAATCCTTTCCAGGTCCAGCGCCACTTTCAGCCGTCCTGCAACTGCTGGCCACACCTGGAGCGCGCGCGGATCGCCTGCCGCGCAGGTGGACGAGCGACTGTGCATGAAGCCCGATGGGAGTGACATCCTGGGTTGCCATCCCAGCTATGATGGAGAGCTATGGGCCTGCTACGTGACCTGGGCAATGGATTGAGATGGAGATGCTGTCTTTTAACAAGAAAACACCTGTGAAGCCTGAGAGGGTTCAATCTTGCTTTTTTTCAATTGGCTGTCCACTCCAGGTTGTTGCTTTTAGAAGGTCTCATAGTACATTTATATGTCTATTCTTTTGCAGAGTTCAAGGAAGGTGGAAGAGTTTCCTGCTGCTGTGGGTCATAAAGTACTCAAAAGGTGAACATCCCGACGAACAGAAGAGTACGGCTTAGTGGCTTAGTTGCCCATTGGAGCTACGTGACCTGCATTTGGGGTGCGTCTCGCGTTGACCGATGCTCGAAACTCGTGGAACCGGAGGGGTCGGAGGGGCCGTCGCACGAAGTTGCAATCAATTTGCGTTTTTCTCCACCTGTCAGGTGAGGGAGACTTGTCAGGTGTTGTGATGACATACTGACATACTGTGCCAGTCCTTCCTTCTGGGGGCGACGAAAGCACCGAAGGGTGCCAGGAGGGAGCCAGGAGGGTCCGACCCAACCTGCCGAACCGGCTGGAGGGACGGCTGGAGCCCGCTCTTGTTCTCCTTCTCTTTTCGTTCTTTTGCGCCTTGAGGTCGAGAAAGCCGTGGCGATCCATTGTGGTGGTTGGGATGAGATCGATGGTGGTCAATGCACGCATGCTTGGCGATTGCTGACCGGCTGTAGCTCCGAACACAAACATCGGTGGGACAGGTGGAGAAAGGCGGATGGGACATGGTATTCAGCAGCTTTTTTGCTTGATGACAGGGTCCTGTTTCTTTGGGTTGGACTTGTTGTGACTGTATGCACCGGCTATCCCAGGTTACAACCCTGCCTGGACCACCCAATGGTACACATAAAAGTGTTCAAGGCAATTTTTGATACACATTCTTGTAGCTCGAGCGTTGTTTGCTTGTTCCAGTCAACTCGAGCACTTTCTTTTGAGGGCTGGTGGTGGTGTTTGAGTTTTTCCTGATTGTTTCGAGTTCATACATTTTGTCGTGGATATGGCTCAAGCTGTGCCTTTTTGAGAGGGTGAAGGGTAAAATGGATCTGGCTGAAGGCATACAAGGCAGGTATGATTGTTGGGATAGCATGACCTTGCAAATTTGCAAAATGGTGTGGTGATACCCATGCTTGCACTCATGATGCATTCCACTGCAGGTGTGAAGTGGCACCCGGGCATTTCGAGGGAAGCTTTCGAGTCGGTTCTTGGTAAGGTTCTTTGGCTATGCAGCTATGCATGTTCATCTTGCTTGGCATAGTATGCACATGTTGATGCTGTGCATGCTCATGTTGCATTACATGGATGTCATCACGACTGCGTGACTGTCGCATGCATGTTGCTACACCGTGCTCTTCGCGTCGGTTGTCTGGGACAATCTCTGTAGCATTTGGCTAAAACCATGTCGTTCTGGGAGCAGGCATCGGTGTTGGCCACGGCGTGGGCCAATGATTGTGAGATCAAAGCATTGGGGGCAAAGCACTCTCTTTGCATAATCCAGAGGAAGAAAATATGCAGAAGATCCTCAAATGCAATTGTATCATCATGTATCATCTTATCATGTTGTACAATGATAGCCCATCAACCTTGTGCATGCTCATGCAATGTACATGTAGGTGTGTGCATTCATCAAAGGCGCGAGTCCAGAATACTCTCCTGTCGCTTGAGGTGATCTTCGCCAGAATGCTGACCAGGTGGCCCTTGCCGTGAAGCACTTGGGACTTCGACCTTCACTGGGTATGTTTGAACAAGCAGTTCATCAATTTTTCCATCTATGTCTCCCTCGTTCTGAAGAAGTTTGCAGTCCCTTGGTTTACTCACGTGCCCATTCACGCATATCCGGAATTGAGTTTGCATAGCATGGCTGCAATTGATTGCATGCATGGCTTTTCCATGTCATGACCTTTGTTTTTTTAATTTTGCTGATTAAGGCACCAAACTGAAGATGCACGCACGATATATCAAGAAACTTGTATATCGTTTCTCACGGATGGCCAAGAAACACGGCTGAATCTGTTGACTGCATGGTGGCTGTGCAAAGTGGCAAAGCCATGTTGGACAATGTGCTGCGCTGGTTTTTGACATTTGAGGAGGCCACATAAGCCCAAATGCAAGACGATCCGGAAATTGTATGCTGCAGCTGGCATCAAACTAGGAGGAGCTCTTCTACAACTGCAGCTTTCTAGGGGCTATGGTGTTGCAAATATATTTGCTTAGTGCAGGATCCAAAACAAATGAAACTTCTGATGGATCGAGTGACAGCTCAAGTTCGACATCTGCTTTGGGCTTACAGGTTTTGTGCATAACTACCAAAATGGAAAAGCAAAGCATATTGTCTGCGATTTGGTGTTGAGACTTTGGCAAGTAAATGATGAGGATGATGAAGGTGAAGATGAGATGGACTCCAGTGGTGATGGGGGAAGCCCTGGCGAGGGACCAGGCCTGCAAGCATGCATGTTGTCATGTCAATGCTTTGTGTTTCCGCTTACAGGTAGTGACTGCTTCCTTGTTCACTTGGATGCAGGCTGTTTGTCCACGCCGCCACCATGTCCAGGCAAAGAACTATGCTTGCAGCTTTCAATGTCTTTTGGGAAAAGGGTTGAACCGGTTTGCAGGACCGGCGCCGCTCGACCTCCCCAGTACTGGCAAAGTGGCCCGAGCTTTGGAGTTTGGTTCCTTGCATGCATGTATATTGTCTTCTTGTATGACATCTATATATTTGATTCAGCCAATCAAGTTAATATGTTGAGGCAAAGAGCCTGATCTTGATGCAAAGATGCTGTTGTTGAAAGAGCTTAGTGAACTTGAAGAGCTGCTCAAGATGAGATCTGCCATGATTGGCATGGCAACAGTTCCTCGTGCTCCATGTGATCCTCCTGACGCTCAGATCAGGCCGCCTGTGCCATCGAGACCAACCATGCCCAAGCAGCCACTGATCAGTCTGAAGCTTATGGTTGCTCATTGTAGGATTGTGTTGCATTAGCATGTGTATTGTAATGTTGTATGCTGCTCTGAGACCCTAATGATGTGGAGACCCAACCCATGGATGTCGATGGACCTATGCATGATGTGGTTCCTCGAGCTGTGATCATGTCTTCGGAGGCATGCTCGACTTGTTCTGCATGTTGCTTTCATCAAAGAACTGCCTGACCAGCAAGACCGTCAGAGTATGAACTCAGGCGGAGGCTGAAGAAAGGTTGAAGCGAAAGCAAGAAGAAAAAGCAAGGAAGGAGAAGGAGGAGGCTGAAGACAAGTTGAAGCGAGAGCAAGAAGAAAAAGCCAGGAAGTTGAAGGCGGAGGCTGAAGAAAAGTTGAAACGAGAGCAAGAGGAAAAAGCAAGGAAGGAGATTGCGGAGGCTGAAGAAAGGTTGAAGCGAGAGCAAGAAGAAAACGCCAGGAAGGAAAAGGCGGAAGCTGAAGAAAAGTTGAAGCGAGAGCAAGAAGAAACCGCCAGGAAGGAGATGGCGGAGGCTGAAGAAAAGTTGAAGCGAGAGCAAGAAGAAAAAAAAAGGAAGGAACAGGCGGAGGCTGAAGAACGGTTGAAGCGAGAGCAAGAGGAAAAAGCAAGGAAGGAGATGGCAGAGGCTGAAGAACGGTTGAAGCGAGAGCAAGAAGAAAAAGCAAGGAAGGAAAAGGCGGAGGCTGAAGAAAAGTTGAAGCGAGAGCGAGAGCAAGAAACAAAAGCCGGCGTGGCTTCTGAAGTGCAAGGGCTGTTGGATCGACCATGCATTGCACCACCGGCAAAAAGGAAGAGAGTAAGCAAGAAGAAACCATCAAACGAAGAAAATCAGCGATCGCCAGCAGCTGAAAGTGCGGACGAAGAGAAACCTTTGGAAGCCGCTGCGGGTGAAACGGGCAAACCAAAGGCCAAAGCCAAGGCAAAAGGAAGGGCAAAACGAGGTGAGGCTAAGGCCAATGAGGGGGAAGAACCTTGTAGGAAGGAGGCTGCTGAGGAGGAAGCTGTGGATGATGAATCAGGCGCAGCAGCCAAGGGATCAGGAGGTGCTCGAAAGGGAAAGAAAACGCAGAAGAGTAAGAGCAATGATGAAGCGAAGGCGAGAAACGCCAGGAAAAGCAAAGCGTATGGTGCTGCCAAGAGGACGGCGCTCAAGAATGGTCGCAGCATGGAGGAAGCCACAGCTTTGGCCAAGGAGGCTCTTGGGCTATTCATCTAATGGACATATAAACTGGTATATTCATTGGTATACACATTAACTACATGCATGCTGTATATGTTCAATCATGTTACAATCTTTTCTGTAGTTGTTACATCTGAGGCTTCCGCAGCACCGATTGATGGAATGATGGGATGGGTTGGATTCATTTAATTCGATGTATCAAATTGCGAAAGTGTAATTCACTTTGACATGTTCATGTGCCTGCTGGAAACACAAAGTGTGATGGCATCTTGTGTATGGAGCATGCACAACTCTAGGCTCTGCATGCTGCAATCCTATGCACGCTGTGTCGTTGAAAGATCGACCTTGTTGTGCGTCAGCTTGCAAAACAGTCTGCTTGGCATCCTTTCGCGTGCTTGCATGAATGCACTGATTGCATAATTGGTTCTTTATTGCATGGACTCGCACGCATGCATGCTTGAACTGTTGCATGCATGGATGAACTGCTGCATACATGGTTGAACCATTGCACGCATGCATAGGTCATTGATTGCATGAGTTGCTTGAGCACTTGTGGTGTGATGGATCGGATGTCATTCTCAGGTGACTGACTCTGGTGCGTGATTGGTGTGGAGATCCGAAGAGGTGCGCCCCTGGTAGCAAACATTGCAAGCATTGCGGAACATGTGTGTCGTTTGCAGGCTTGTCATGGGTGATTGTGTACTAGAGCTGTTTGGCTCAGAGATGACTATGCCGGGTGGACCAATGATCGGCTATGAGTGAGGCCTGAATGTATGCATGGAGTCATAGAGCTTGACATGCCAATTGGGTGGGTCTCTGCTGCAGGAGCATGAAGCGTGCCTCAAAAGCAGTCCCTCGGCATGCAGTTTGTTGAACTCACAAGACTCACAAGTTCAAACATCAACAACTTGGAGTCTTCTGCCTGCCCAGGATTCGGACCAGGCAGCCAAGAGACTACCTGGCTGGATCGAGATCCTGGACAAACATGAGGCGTGTCTAAAAAAGCGGTCAGGCTTATGTGAGAAGCATCTCGCTCCCTGCTCAGGTGTCGCAGCAGACCATCTACAAGATCAGCCAGGCTTCTGAAACCTGTGTATATGTCAGCGCTTTGCGACTCTGGTGCAGAGGATGCTGAGATTCAGAAAGCTATGATGATTTTGGCTGGATACGCGGCTCAGGACCCTTGGTGGGAGATGTGTGTGTGTGTGGGTGTGGGTGTGTGTGTGTGGGACAACTGCAGAAAACACATGTGTTGGGACATTCAAACAAGTCTCCTGTGGTTATCATCAGGAAGCAACCGCTCGAGAGAGGCAAGGACAATGTGATCCTGGAGAACGCTCTTTGACCTCGAGGCATGTTTGCACTTTGTTGCACCCATGAATGATCGTTGTAGTTCATTCATTTTGCGTATACACTGTGTAAGAATCGGAGTTGGACAGGTTGCATGCATGTTGATTGAGTGATTGCACTCATGAGGTTGCCTTGAATGCATGTGTCTTGGGTAGAATGCATGCATGGTGATTGAGTGATCGCATGCATG